GAAGGTCGGCGGAAATAAAACGAGGCCGCCTCCGCCAGCGGGAGCCGGCGGAAGCTCGGCGGAAGGTGGCGGAAGTAAAACATGCGCCCCCAAGGGATGATCACGTTTTTGGGTTCCGGGTCTCCGAGATCGCCCACTTGACGTGGCCACCGGCCGTCCTCCTCGCACGCCCTCTCTCTCGAAGCTGCCACTGCCCGAGCGTGTCTCGCACGCGGGCACCCCGCGGCAGCCGATGGCGTCGGGCTTCTTCTTCTGCGCGCCCTGCCTGGTCCTGCTGCTGCGCCCCTTGATGCGCACGCGTCCAGCACCCGGCCGTTGGCGGCCACGGTTGTAGAGTTGAGTGGGGCCTGTCCCTCTGCAGGGGGAAGATTCGAACACAGTCCAAAAATCGTCGGGGGACGATGTGTTGAGCATTATTTGGTATTGTTTAGTTTTTTGTGCAAAACAAACAAACAAGCAAGCAACCAAACAAACAAGCAAACAAGAACCGCCCGACAGAAGTGTAGCTTGTCGTCCCGCGGTGGCACGCTGGCGCCCTCCTGGGCGGAGGATGCCACGCCTCCTCCACCCAGACCACGGACGAGCTGGCCTCCTTCCGCGGCCGGCGACGGCAGGGCACGATCGCGGGCGCCCCGCGTCAGCATCGTCTGACCAATCCCCATCCCCAAGAGTCATCAACGATGTTGGACTACATTCCTCAGGACCCCCTCTTTGAACAGCCCGTCGTCCGCGCGCCGGCCTCGGGCCACGGTGCGCTGGCCCTCCTCTTCCTCGCCCACCCCCCTCCTCGGCGCAGCCTGGGCGGGAGGGGTGCGAGACGGCCCGAGGCTCAGCATCGTGGAACCGACCCCCACCCCCATCCCCGTCGAGATCCCCACCAAAGGACCACCCCCGTTGGGGGACACGCCCCTCGAAGAACGCAGGGAGCGACCTCTATCCCCATCCAGGGGGGGGGGCAGATCGGCCAGTGGGGCCTATAGGCCACGCCGCTGCCGCCGCCGCTGGGACTGGGGATCGGTTCCACGATGCTCCCCGCGGGTTCCGCTCGATTGCTGCCGACCGCTGCCGCCGCTGCCCCGTCTTCTCACACCAGGCTCCAGCAGGTGCGCGGCAGCGGCTGGCACTGGGCTTCTCCTTCGCCTCCGCCTCCCGCTGCCGCCTGTGCTCCTCTCCCCTCGCGGGCGCCGTGGGCGGGTGGCGGCTGGATGACGTCTGGCTTCGTCTTCGCCGCCTCCTCCCGCTGCCGCTGTCCTGCTTCCCCCCGCGCGCGCCTTCGGCAGGTGCCCCTCTGCAGCTGATAACGTCGGGCTCCTCCTTCGCCTCTGCATCCTGCTGCCACTGCCCTGCTCTCTCGCACGCGTCGTCAGGAGGTTCTCTTCGGCGGCTCGCGACATCGGGCTGTCCGTCGCTGGCTGTCCTTCTCTCTAATGCTTGCGCTCCCTTGCTGAAGCTCTTCTCGCACTTCACGGCAGGCCTCCCACAGCTGTCAATGGTTGACGGCACCTCCTTCGCCCGCCGCTGCAGGAGCTCTGCCCTGCTCTTCCTCTCTTCGGACTTCCCTCCAAAGTCGTTGCACCCGCCCCGTCTGCGGAGGCGCGCGCGCCCTGCGGCGCCCCGCAAGGGCCCCGCAATCGCGCCGGCGGCGCTTGGGGCATCTGCTCGGCGGGCCCTCCCGAAATGGCATGGCCGCGCTGCAGAGCCACCTGGAGGAGGAGGAGGAGGAGGAGGAGGAGGAGGAGGAGGAGGAGGAGGAGAAAGAGGCGAGGAGGGGGCAAGCTTCCAACGCTTCTGGGAGAGCGACGAGCGTTTTGGAGGTTCTCGGAGAGAATGGAGGCAGTAATTAGACGGAGGCAGAAACGTTAGCATCTGTTAGTAGGTCGCAGACGTTGTCGTGGCTCTGCAGTAGAGGGTGTTTTTAGAGAGGAAGGGAGACCAGACCGAAGGGGAGAACGCGAAGGTGGTGGTAGAGGAGGAGGAGGAGGAGGAGGAGGAGGAGGAATCAGATGCTGGTAATCAGTTGGGCCCAAGCCTGTTCTAGCTCACCCTGTACCGGGTAGTGCCACGAGGAAGTGAACATCTCTCCACGCGTGTACAGCAGCTCAGCCTGTCACTATTTCTAGAGATTATGCGCGCAGTGGAGTTTACGGTCCTTCGTGGGGTGAGTGCGTGAGTGGCGTCCGACCACTCTTGCATTTCTGTTCAAATATGTGCAACATATGGTCGTAGCTGCAACGCGTGCGCGTCGTCAGTTCACACCATCAGGCGTCTAGGGGCTGGTGGTCAGCAGGACGGGAGTAAGATTCCATAACAAACTTGGGGCTCGCGAGAGGCGGCGACGACGCGCACCGCGCAGCGCTGGCAGAGTGTGCTAGCCACGAGTGTGTGTGTATATATATATATATACATACAAGACTGCATTGGCGCTTCGCGCCATGCACCTTGGTCCTTCAACCCTTGCGCGCGTTGGCGTCTAGCGCGGCCCTCCACGGTCTTTGAACCGCGGTTGGTTCGCGCCCCGTTCCCGGACCTGCACCTTACTTGCTCGCGCCCTCGCTCTGCTGGTCCGCGCGCCACTGGGACTCCATGAGAATGTCCCAGCGGACCGATCAGCGGCGATGAGAGCGGCCGTGGAGGCTCCGGAAAGACAAAACGTCGGACAGAAGGGGGGCTGACCGTGACTGTGTTTCCCGTCGACTGGCACACGACTTGCAAGCCCGATTGGACTGCTGAAGTTGTGTTGTGGAGAATGATTCTGCAGGCAGGGTCTCGCCACAATCGAAGCAAGCGAATACAGACATCGAGGATGTGCCGTATGCGACAGCTTAAAAATGTAAGCCAACGGCTACGGATGCATGTGTGCGAACACGTGTGGAAAACAATGTTTCCTTAATGACTTGGAAGGGCCCTCGTGAAACCTCCATGGAACGATTATTCTGGGATGCGATAGGGCATAGGGCAGCAAGCATGCAGGCAACGTACCGGATCCTGGAAATGCTAAGGACATCTACCGAATTCCGGGGAAATGTGCCGAATCCCGGGTTCGCAGCCGATTTCCCGGGAATTTGGTTGCGAACCCGGGATTTCAAACATTTTGGTGTTTTGCGTGGGATGCCACTGCCTGGCAAACAACGGAGCAGCGCAGCGAAGCCGTTCCGGAGGTGGCGGTCAAGTGGGGCGATTCAGCAGTTTTGAAGCCTCTTGGGGGGCCGTTTTGGCTGCCTTTTGGAGAGCCATTTTGGGGCCTCGTGGGTTCTTTTTGGGAGTCCTCGGGGCCTTTGGAAGCCTCTTGGGGCCTCTTGGGGCCCTCCTGGGGCCTCCTGGGGCCCACTTGGGGCGGAAAGTTAGATGTTTGAACTTTTGATCGCCCTGTGGGGGCTCGTTTGAAGCTTTCTCGGGGCCCTCTTGGGCCTTCTTGGGCGCCTCTTGGGCTGTTTCGGGGCGCTCCAGAGCCGTCTTGGGGCCGTGTTGGGGCCGTTTTGGGGCCCCCCCGGGCCATCTTGGGGCGCTCTTGAGGGCCTCTAGTTCTGTCTTGGAGCGTCGGAAAGCTAAAATGGCGAGAAAGCAGAAAACATCGAAAAACACATTGGAAAATTGACCATTTCGGCCTCCCGGGGCCGTCTTGGGGGGCTTCTTTGGGGCCGTTTGGGGCGTCTTGGGGGCTCCTGAGGCTGTCTTGGGGCTATCTTTGGCGTCTTGGAGCGCTTTGTGCCTGTCTTGGAGCGCTCTTGAGGCACTCGGGACCGCTTCAATGGGCGTCCGGAGGGTCCCAAAGTCCCAGGATCCCAGGAGTCCGGTTTGGGGGGGGGGGGGGTGCGGGGTTTTGCGGCCGCCCGGGCTTGTAAAAATATAGGAAGAGGAATATGTGTATATATACATATGTACATTGCAGCTCATATAACTTGTGACTCTCTCGAGATATTAGGAAGCGGCGTTTCCAAAGGAGAGTTCGGCAGCTGCGCCGTGGACGATGCAGTGGAGGTGAAGCTGAACCACGAGTCCAAGATCACCTACTGCCTCAACGGGCAGGTTCGCCACACCAGCCAGGTGCAAGCCCGGCTGTCCGTTTCACGTCAAAGTGTGTTGCTGTGCTCTTGGCCCCGTGCTGAGCCATGTGCAATGGTCGCGCAGCGCGCGGCCGCGCTCGCGGCGGAGCGGGAGGAGCTGCAGTCCGACAAGGCGGCGGCCGAGCAGCGCGCGGCCGCGCTCGCGGCGGAGCGGGAGGAGCTGCAGTCGCAGATCGCCAGGCTGGAGCAGCGCCTCGCGACGGAGGAGCGCCTCGGGGCGCGGGGGCAGCAGGACAGCACGGTGCAGGTCGCCGAGGTGGGCCTGCAGGTTCATGAGGCCTTGATGCGCGGAATCCCTGACGGGGGGGTGGGACCGGCCTGGCCACCGGCCGTTGCTGCGTTGTGTCTGGCGCCTGCAGGTGCACGCCGGCAGGTTCGCGCCGTGCCGGCGCGGCGGCGACCCCGTGCGCGCGGGCGTTCGGGGGCGGAGGGCCGCCGGTGGCCGAGAGCCGGCCGACCTCGCACGATGCTGCGCGGTCGGAGGGCCGGCGATCGCCCAGGGTGCAGCGATGCACGCGGTGTCGCAGACCAGCCAGCGCGCGCGCCGTGCTGGCACGGGGCTCCCCCGCGGGGCACGAAGAGGAAGGAGGAGGAGGAGGAGGAGGAGGAGGAGGAGGAGGGGGAGGCGTCTGCCCGCTCGGAGAGTGACGGCCGCGCGGGCCGCGCGCACGGCTGCCCCACGCACGGGCGAAAGAGGGAGGAGGAGGGAGGAGGAGGAGGAGGAGGAGGAGGAGGAGGAGGAGGAGGAGGAGGAGGAGGAGGTGGAGGCGGAGGAGGAGGAGGCGGAGGCGGAGGAGGAGGAGGAGAGATGAGATGAGATACCGGTAATCAGTTGGGCTCAAGCGAACTCACCGTGTACCGCGCAGTGCCACGAGAACCCGAGCATCTCTCCACGCTTGCGTGCACCAGCTCAGCCTTTCACTACGTCTAGCGATTATGCGCGCCGTGGAGTTTACGAACCTTCGTGGGATGAATGCGCAAGTGGCGTCCGACGACTCCTCGACTACACTGTATAAGTGTTCCACGCTTGATAGTGGCTGGAACGCGTGCGCGTCGTCAGTGCACAGCGTCCAGCCTCTAGGGGCTGGTGGTCACGGCAGGACGGGGGTCGGTTTCCAGCCGTGTGCGAACAGTTTTTTTGCGTTGGGGCTCGCGAGAGGAGGCGACGACGCACACCGCGCAGCGCTGGCAGTGGATGCAGGGTACACGAGTATAGACTTTGCAGTTATCTGTGACGGGTCGGATTATCGTATATTTGAAAACGGCATTGAGAAGAAAGTGTATGATACGATGTTCTGGCCAGACGCCGGTACAGGGTATAGTGGAGTGGAGGTGAAGCTGAACCACGAGTCCAACATCACCTACTGCCTCAACGGGCATGTTTTCTACACCAGCCTGGTGCAGCCCCGCTACCCCTTGCACGTCAAGGTGTGCAGCAGGCAGGCCGGCCCCGTGGCGATTAATGTCCAGTGGGTGGGCGACCTGACCGAGCCCCGTGCGCACGGGGACCTCCTTGCCGAGCAGCAGCTCACCATCATTGCGCTTGCGGAGTCAAGGGCCGAGACGCGCGGCCTCGTACAGCGCGCGGCCGCGCTCGCGGCCGAGCGGGATGAGCTACAGTCCGACAGGGCGGCGGCCGAGCAGCGCGCGGGCGCGCTCGCGGCGGAGCGGGAGGAGCTGCAGTCCGACAGGGCGGCGGCCGAGCGGCGCGCGGCCGCGCTCGCGGCGGAGCGAGAGGAGCTGCAGTCCGACAGGGCGGCGGCCGAGCAGCGCGCGGCCGCGCTCGCGGCCGAGCGGGAGGAGCTTCAGTCCGACAGGGCGGCGGCCGAGCAGCGCGCGGCCGCGCTCGCGGCCGAGCGGGAGGAGCTGAGGTCCGACAGGGCGGCGGCCGAGTGGCGCGCGGCCGCGCTCGCGGCCGAGCGGGAGGAGCTGCAGTCCGACAGGGCGGCGGCCGAGCGGCGCGCGGCCGCGCTCGCGGCCGAGCGGGAGGAGCTGCAGTCCGACAGGGCGGCGGCCGAGCGGCGCGCGGCCGCGCTCGCGGCGGAGCGGGAGGAGCTGCAGTCCGACAGGGCGGCGGCCGAGTGGCGCGCGGCCGCGCTCGCGGCGGAGCGGGAGGAGCTCCAGTCGCAGATCGCCAGGCTGGAGCAACGCCTCGCGGCGGAGATGCGCCTCGGGGCGCGGGGGCAGCAGGACAGCATGGTGCAGGTCGCCGAGCTGGGCCCGCAGGTTCATGAGGTCTTGATGGGCGGACTCCGTGGGGGGGACCAGCTTTTTGTTTGCCCTGTCTGCGTTGTTTGGGCGCATGGGTGGCCTCGGACTCGGCCTCGGCAACGCGTTCCAGACCACCATCAGAGCGTTCTGGAACGCTCTGAAGAGGCCGCGGCGCCCGATATATGATCCCGAATCGCCAGATTCAGAGATCCGCGATTTACTTTCCTTGTTCGATTTTTCCCCCGTCCTGGCTTCGTCGCACTTGGTTTCGGCTAGCCAAGCCTGGATGCGCAGAATCCGTGGGGGGGGAACCCAGCCTGGCCACGTTGTTGTGTTGTGTTGCGCGCCCCGGTGGCCAACCGGGTCATTCGGGGCAGCGGGTGCACGCCGGCAGGTTCGCGCCGTGCCGGAGCGGCGGCGACCCCGTGCGCGGGCGTTCGGGGGCGGAGGGCCGCCGGTGGCCCGGAGCCGGCCGACCTCGCACGATGCTGCGCGGTCGGAGGGCCGGCGATCGCCCAGGGTGCAGCGATGCACGCGGTGTCGCAGACCAGCCAGCGCGCGCGCCGTGCTGGCACGGGGCTGCCGTAGCTACCCCCCCGCACTCGACGCAGGTCCTGTTGCAGCTGCAGCAGGTGTCGTCGCAGACGCAGCAGCCGCACCAGGAGGTCACCCAGGATCAGGGGCAACGAGAGGGTGGGATAGGCTCAGGGAGGGGAGGCAGCAACCCCCAATCGCTCACTCATCGCCGATGGGGGCCCGATAGCCCCAGCCCGCCCAGGACCGTCCAGGCCTCTATCGGGGGCCTAACGCCGATCGATCGGCGATGCACCGCCGACTCCAGCTCGCCCGTTCCCCCCCTGGGCTGGCCCCGCCCCCCCTGCCGCTGCCCCTCACAGGAGCGCCTGTGCAGGCCGGCCGGCGAGCCCTTGGCGGCGCAGCGCTGCCAGCCGCGCGCGCCCGAGCCCGAGGCCGCGCCCCGCGCGCTGCAGCCGGCCGCGCCCGGCGGGCGCGCAGAGGGCGCCGCGGGCTGCGGGCCGGCGGGCAGGCGCGGGGCGGCGCGCAGCAGAGGGGCGTGGCGCGGGGGGGGGGGCGGCGGCGGGCCTCCGAGGAGGCCCCGTGGGAGCCCCCCCCGCGCCTCTCAGGGAAGCCTCCCGAGCAGCGTCGGGGGCCCGTCGGAGGCCTTCGCGGGAGAGCCTCTGCCCAGGCATGCAGCATCTCGAGAGAGTCGAGAGGGAGGTGGTTCCGCGCTTTGGCGGCCACTCGGGGCCCTGGCCGGGCCTCGGGACCGTCGGCGCGACTCGGGATGAGAAACCGGTCCCCGGGGAAGTGGTCGAGAGGTCGGGGGCCGCCCGAGTGGAGCCGAAGTGCCATCGATGGTGTCGGCGGATCGCGCTGCATCGCCGATGCATCGCCGATGCGGCTGGATGTGGAGCTCGATTTGTTCCACGTCGACATCGCCGATGCACCGGCGGTGCGGCGCGATCCCCGGAAGCTGGGCGGAGGTGTCTCGAAAAAGTCGAGTCGCCGGATCTCTGGGTGGGCCCTTCCGAGGAGGCCCCCCCGGCCTTCCGAGGGTGCCGCCCGCCTTCTTAGGGCGCCGCCCCCCTCTCGCGCCGCGCCCTCCATGTGCGCGCTGCCAGAGGCGCTTTGTCGGGATCGGGTGTCCGGGCGCCGCAGCCGTCGACGTGGAAGTGGTCGATCTATCGGGCTGGCGCCACGTCCGCGGACTCCTCTGCTCGGGAGAGGAAGTCTATACATGTCCACTGCTCCCTGTCCAGGCCCATCCTGAACCCAGGAGCTGTGTATACGCCCTCCCAGCCAGGCCAGGATGGCGTGGCGTATGCACCGCTGTTGGGCTGCTGGGTTCAGGATGTGCTGGCCAGGGAGCAGTGGATATGTATAGATTTCGTCGCACTATCTGCGCGCTTTTTTTCTAGCCTGCGGCTCGAAGCGCCTTCGACGAGGAGATACACAGGAGGGCTGGGGGGCGACGACAGCGAAGCGGACTGGGAGGTCGATGAGTTGGAGGAGGAGGAGGAGGAGGAGGAAGATCATGAGAAATCGGGAGGGGGAGAGGAGGGGAAGGAAACGAGGAGGAGGGAGGAAGTGCACATCGGACGGAGGGATAACGGGGGACTGAAGACGGAGGGCGGCGGAAGGAAAGATAGAAGAGGCAGGAATGGGAGAGTAAGGATGGGTGGATGCATGAGGGTGGAGGAGTGAGGGTTGGTGTTGGGCGGGTGGAGGAATGACAGGAGGGTGGTGGGCGGATGGAGGGGGTGGGATGGGAGAAAGAGTGGTCTGGAGGGTTGGACGGACGAAAGGATGGAGGATGCATGGACAAAGGGATGGAGGATAGAGATTGACTGATGGGGGGGGGACGGACAGAGACGCACGGGGCCGGAGGAAGGGAGGGAAGGAGGGAGGGAGCAGGAGGGATGGAGGAAGGAAAAAGGTTGGGAGAAGGGGGGGAAGTTGCGGAGGGACGGAGGAATCATGGGGCACGAGCAATGGAGGGAGGAAGGCGAAGTGTGACGAATGGGGGTGTATCGCGGAGGGTTGGAAATATGGAGGGAACGGGACTTAGAATGGAGGCGCAGAAGGGAGCGGGAGGAGAAGGTGACCTTTGCACTATCTTGGGGCGCCCCTACACACTCCTTAGCTCATCTGCCGACATGCAGCTGAATGTTCGCGTGTCCGTGCAAGCCCATCCACAAACGCAGGCGAATTGCAATTGCCTTGAGCATGCAGCTGGAACGATGGTGAGGGTCGATGATGAGGATCGCTACCATGAGAAGATGAGTGCGGGGGCGGGGGATGAGGAGGACGACGTAGAGGACGAGGATAACCATGGAGAAGACCAGAAGGTCTCGGATGTGTTGCGGGTGGGGAGTAGGAGGTGGATGGGGACGATACGAAGGATAACGAGGAGAGTGAGGACGAATGGGATGAGGGGGTTCCAGTCATTGCAGAGGTTCGTCGAAGTGCAATCTCTCTGCAACACTCACGCTTAGAGGGCTGCTGGAATATGTTATGATTTGTTTTCATTTCTCTCTCTCTCTCTCTCTCTCTCTCTCTCTCTCTCTTTATATATATATATATATATATATATATTCCTCTTTCTATATTTTTACAAGCCCGGGCGGCCGCAAAACCCCGCACCCCCCCCCCCCCAAACCGGACTCCTGGGATCCTGGGGCTTTGGGACCCTCCGGACGCCCATTGAAGCGGTCCCGAGTGCCTCAAGAGCGCTCCAAGACAGGCACAAAGCGCTCCAAGACGCCAAAGATAGCCCCAAGGCAGCCTCAGGAGCCCCCAAGACGCCCCAAGCGGCCCCAAAGAAGCCTCCCAAGACGGCCCCGGGAGACCGAAATGGTCAATTTTCCAATGTGTTTTTCTATGTTTTCTGCTTTCTCGCCATTTTAGCTTTCCGACGCTCCAAGACAGAACTAGAGGCCCTCAAGAGCGCCCCAAGATGGCCCGGGGGGCCCCCAAAACGGCCCCAACACGGCCCCAAGACGGCTCTGGAGCGCCCCGAAACAGCCCAAGAGGCGCCCAAGAAGGCCCAAGAGGGCCCCGAGAAAGCTTCAAACGAGCCCCCACAGGGCGTTCAAAAGTACAAACATCTAACTTTCCGCCCCAAGTGGGCCCCAGGAGGCCCCAGGAGGGCCCCAAGAGGCCCCAAGAGGCTTCCAAAGGCCCCGAGGACTCCCAAAAAGAACCCACGAGGCCCCGCTGGTGGCGCGTAGGCCACGCGGGCCCTGGGCTGCGGCTGCCGCCCCTGCCTCTGGCCCCCCGCTCTCGGCTTTCGGGCAGAGGCCGCCCGCGGGGTTGGGCGGTTTCTGGAGCGGCGCCTCTCGGTGCGACGCTGACAAATTGCTTTGCCGCTCCCCGACGGCACCTTCATTATCCCTCTCCCTCCTCCTCTTCCTCCTCATGATCTGGCAGTCCTTGGAGCCGCAGCCCCCTGGTCTGTTTCCATATGTGATCGCAGGGCATCTCCGTTTGTCTCACCCCCATGCGCAAGTCGAGACAGCACGCCGCCCCAATGCGTGCCTTACCCTACCTTACCTCATGATTTTCCTCCCTTCGCCGCGCCTCCCTAAATCGTCCTCCACTTCTTTCCCGCCCCTTCTGTCCGACGTTTTGTCTTTCCGGAGCCTCCACGGCCGCTCTCATCGCCGCTGATCGGTCCGCTGGGACATTCTCATGGAGTCCCAGTGGCGCGCGGACCAGCAGAGCGAGGGCGCGAGCAAGTAAGGTGCAGGTCCGGGAACTGGGCGCGAACCGGCCGCGGTTCAAAAACCGTGGAGGGCCGCGCTAGACGCCAACGCGCGCAAGGGTTGAAGGACCAAGGTGCATGGCGCGAAGCGCCAATGCAGTCTTGTATATATATATATATGTCTCTGACTGCTTGGGATCCCTCGTAGCCATTTTGGCTCAAGCCTCTCTCGCTCAGAGCGGCAGGAGCGTGCCCCTGAGTTTGCTGTCTCACGCTTCTGAGAGGCACGTTGAGGCAGCGGGCCACTTTGGCTCACAATCTTTCCAGATGCATGGGTCCGCCGATGTGCCGCAGCAGGCTGCGCTGGAGGAGGGTTGGCTTCTTCTTGGGCGTGGCAACAAGCCTCGTAGTGGGCGCACTGTCCGTTGGTGGGTACCTGACCACGACTGGAGCTCCTCGAGTTGGGGCCGCGGCTGGGGCGGCCGCGGGCGCAGCTATTCCAACGAGGAGCGCTGGACCTGCGGTTTTGCGGGCTGTGTGTGCAAAGAGAACATCGGCTCCAGCACTCACTATAAGCACTGCGAACGCCCGCGCGGTGCTTTTGCTGAAGGAGATGCCGTCGCCCCTGGTCGGGTCTGGACGGCGCCGAAGCCTGGTGGTGGCGGTGCGTCGGAGCCCGACTACGACATCCCTTCTCTTGAGCGCTTGGTGGCGATTGGTGTGAAATCTGGTGATTCGCAGGCGGTCGCGCATTACAGGGTTTTACTGCGTCGGAAGCGGCAGGAGCTCCGTCCACCTCTCGAGCAACCACTCAATCGTCGAGTTTAAGAAGCCCAAAGCATGTTCAGCAGCTGGAGCGGCGGTTGATGCGGGAGACGGGTGAGATGAACTAAGCTTCCCAATGGCTTGAGGATGAGAAGAAGGCTGTCAGAAATCTCAGCGAGGAACACGAGGAAGCGGAGGCCACCCACAAGCAGGTGGTGTCGAGTCTCAATGACCAGGTCAACCAGCCAGCGGGGCCGCCAACCGCAAACGTCAACATCCGGGACGTTGTGTAACGGAAATGTATCATGTACCGACTTTGGCGCCGAAGATTTGCTGCAGTTTTCCCATGGCGAGTACGAGGTCAAGCCGTCTGATGTGGAGGCGATTGAAAAGAGAAGTCCGAACTCAGCAAGGATGCGTGCGAGATGGTCAAGAATATTTTCGGCCACATCATCGACAAGGTTGACAGCGCCAATGCACCCCATTCTGCCCATGTCAAACAGTTGCAGAAGAACAGAAATACTAACGATGGTGCCGCTGGTGATCCAAAGGCAGACGCAGATGGCAGGGGCGCGGCAGGCCAGGCTCCGGCGGGGACGTCGGTCGCCAGCTCGTCGTCAGGCTCAGGTAGTTATGCAGGATGTGCGCGAGACATTCGAGCCCGAGCCCGCGCCGCCCTGCGCAAGC